TGGTAGGCACAAGCAGAATGTTGTCCGGCTTCAAATCACAGTGAACATAGTCACACTTGTGAATGTGTCTAATCCCTTCAAGAATTGACCTTGTATATCTTCTAACATCGTATTCAGGCAATCCAAGACCGTTGGATTTTTGTATGAGGCCATCAAGGGTTCCTCCAGAAGCAAATTCTAACAACAAGTTGTAGACCTTGTCACCCTTGTCTGTGGTTGTGGTCTCTTCACCAAAGCGCTCGATAATGAAAGGGCAGCCTTTGATCTCAAACAGAACCTCTGCCTCATGTTCAATAGACTCCGAAGCAGACACCTTTGCCGATTTCACCGCCATCACTGCAGGCAAATTGACCATACGGCTAAACTCACCCCTTCTTCGTTTCTTGGGAGTAGCAAGAAAAACAGAACCAAAGCTTCCTTCTCCAATAAACTCCCCTCTCTGCCAGTGCCCTCCATGACTCCACATGCTGTGCTTTTCCCCTTCTAATTCTTCTTCAACCTTTCTTTTCATTCTTTTTCTTCTTCACTCAGTTCTCTGTTTTCTCTCTCCAAGGAAATAAGTATTTCTCTGGAAAAAATTAGCGACTTGCTTGATTGATTGATTGTGCTCTATAATGCTTTATAGTATTGGTTTAGGGAATAGGAAGGTGTATGGAATGTGTGGTTTATTAGGGTTAGCGAGATGTATAAAGTCGGTCAGGTTTAATTGATGCTTTTGTAGGTTTTGATTTGTGACGTAGCCACCAAGCTACTAGCTAACAGACAAGAATTTCCACAATACCTTATCTTCGTTTTTTTTCAATATCGTTTTGTTATTGGTCTGAATTTTTTACCGTTTGGAACGGAGAGAGGAGAGAGGAGATTTTACAGCTGTGGAACGCAAAGATGGAAACCTTTCCTAACCAGAAAAGGAGTTAAATTTATTCTTATTACTTTTTTTATGGAAGAAAAGAAGTTCAAATTTATTGAAGAAACATTACCCTCCGCTTACTGACAAGGAAAGGAATTACCCTCCGCTTATCACAAGATAATATGGTAATTATCTACAAAACCACATTTTATTGTAGCAAGATTTTGGAGACTTGGATATCAATGTTGTAACAAATGGATACATTGGGAAATCTTTCCTGACAAGAAAAACGAGTTAAAATTTTAGTCCAAGCCACGTAGGCACACAACGACATTCTTGATTATCTCACTAACGGAGTGGGAAAAATGTAGGTTTTTTGGAAATTTGAGTATGGAGTTATAGCAATGCAAGTAATATACTCTCTTTGGGCATCCTCATCTTCTGACCATTCTGCAATTTTTCTATTTGAGATATGATATATGTAAGACACAGGTTAGTGTCCTAATTGTATACTTGTTAAAAATACCAGCAACATAGTTTGACTCATCAAATACGGACTACAAGTTGAAGCTTCAAAGAACTTAAATTACAACTCATGCATTATGAAAAAAAGAAACAATCAAGCATAAAAATGAGAAATCCTTCAGAATAATGTAAATAAAGCTCAAATTCTTACTTTTAAGAACTTTTGGGTGCAGCCATGAATGAAGGATTCAAGAAGGCTTGCTAATTGAATAAAATCAAACTTTTTTTTTTTTGGTTGAAATAAAATCTATTTATTGTTTGATAAAAATAAGAATATAATTCTCAAATAATATACCTTCATTAATATGATGAACAATTTTGATTGAGAAAATGTTATATTTAAAAAAAATAAATTATTTCTTTTGTTTATATACATTATAGATAAATTTTCTCTTTTTCATATTTGAAATAGGTAATCAAATCAATCATATTACAAGAAAAAAATTTAATAGCTTGCTACATATTTTTAATTTTCTAGCACGTCAAATCATCCTAAAATTTGATATGCTATCAAACTTCAAAGTTTAATAAGTAATATAAATTAATAATTACCACCCAAAAATTCAAATTGAAAATCCTTATCTGGTTATTAGCCAATGAGAATACTATACATCTAATATAAAAATAAATATACAAGTGGTTGGTCTCGTTCAATTTAGGCCAGTTAAATCTCAAAACTACAGTCAAATCAAATTGGGCACTACAATCAAACAATATCATAGAGCATGGCCCTATTTGGTGTCAAATCCTTCCTGCATGTCATGGCATGAGAGCCAGTTAGATAGTATAAACATGTAAAAAAAGACTGATTTTTTGTTATTATTATTTTTTTTGGTAAGGAAAAAAACAAAAGCAAGACCACAACTCCCAAGAGACAAAACAAGGGAAATAACTAGCAACCTAGACATAGGCGAAACTAAAAATGAAGTCTAACAAAGGAAGCCTAAAAGCCAATTTCCCTCACACTTATATACAAACTTTCCAATGTGCCCTAACTATTACGATAATAATAAAAATAAAACTAAAAATGTTTGTGGCATTCAAGGTTTGACTTATATATATAAGGTCAGACTTGGATTTGGAAATTGTATATGATTAGATAACTTGTGGAGTTATGAGATATTTGTTGCGAATAAAAATGTTGAGGAAACGCAAAGAGCTTATAGTTTAAGTGGACGAAGAGGAAGAAACAAAATCGCAAAAATATGAAAAAGTATTATGTAATGTATGCGAAAAGCCTATTTTAAACAATATATAGACCACTAAAACCTACAACAAGTGGAAAACAACTCAAATATTTGTATTTCAAATACAAAGTGATAATGTAACAACTCAAATTATGATTTTGGTCTTTGCAGTTTGGTTAAGCTCCATTTTGGTCACCCTATTTTTAATTGCTACAATATGAATCATGTAGTTTACTAATTATTACAATTTAAAGACAAAGAATTAATTATGAAAACTTTTTATATAGAATTAGCACAGTATATGGGTGCCTATGATGTTTTCACCCTTACAAGAGCCCCAGTTAACTCACTTAATAATTATGTTAAAAAAGTGACGTAATTAGTTATAGTTCTTAAACTACAACAATTAATGAACTATAAATAAGTCTTAAGTTACAACAATATATTCATAAGGGTGATTTTATTGGCACCCCATTAATTACTCTTTACACCCCCATACTAATTTTAAATATAAATAACCTATTTTACCATTGTACACAATTACCGTTAAGGACAAAAAAAATTAAAATTAAAATTAAAATTGCTCACTACACCCCACATATGTTCCTGCAACCCTAGTTTGACTTTTTTCTCAAACTATCATGTTCCTAAACCCTAAACCCAAGATTTATAAGTTTATACTGGTGAAAAAATATATTGTATTTATTCATGAATGGTGAGATTGAAGTTAGAGACGCTTCGAATGAGGTACGAGTTTATTTTTGGCGTTTTGCAAGTTTAATATTTCATAACAGTCGCTGGTTGTGTTCAGCACATCAGTACCGAACGCGACGGATAATTTCGTGGGATGCCACCGAAACTTTGCATCTTTTTCGGTTGGATTTCACCGGTGAGAAACTTAATATTCGGTGGGGATCCACCGTAAGATGGAACGTAGTTCAGTGGTGTACTACCGAACTTTTACCCGCGTTTCAGTGACATCCAACCGAAATTTATTTATTTTTTCAGCAACTTATTGCCAACCACAAATTTGCCATGGCCGAATACATGATGTACTCCTCTGAATCTGTGTCTGAAACATTGGAGAATCGCGCCCGTAACAATGACAAACTCACATACTCATCACTGTATTCGTGCAATTGTTCAGTAGCCTCTTCATCAGTCACTCCTAAGTACTTAACTAACAACTCAAAATTTGTGTCGTCATCATCTCCAAGAGGAGCAACCGCTGCACCAGACACAGGAATGCCTAAAATAGATGACACATCATCCAATGTGATGGTCATCTCACCAAAAGGCATGTGAAAGGTGTTCGTTTCGGGATGCCACCTCTCAACAAATGTAGACACCACAATCTTATCAGCATTCCGATAAGAACACCTAATAAGGTGCTCTAATCCAGACCTCTGAATGTACCCTTTGAATATACCATTATTTGGATTACCCCACCAATTCCACTCACGAAGGGTAGATGTTTTCGACATGCACCTAAGGGGCTCACGTTCCTAGTTAAACAAAAAAAAACAAAATTAAGGTTAGTTACCATGAACCAAATTTATATTCTACCTTCTATTGTCACAGTAAAACGACTTACCTGGTTATTCCAAATTGTAGCTGCTATGTGAGTTTTAAAACTCGTAAGTAAAGATGGATCAATGGGACCTACTCGAGATGGCTCAGTAGGCTCGGCATGTACCTCAACATTACTATCCTGAGCAGTAGCTACATCTTCAACCTCTGCGTCAACATTACTATAATCAGTAGGAACTACATCTTCAACCTCTGTAGTATCCTCAATGTGATCTTGGGGAGCCGTTCTCTGTCTCCTCGCTGAGGCCGTGGGACGTTGTCTATTAGGTCGTGATGATGAAGCTTCAGTAGTACCCCTGCGAATCCTCTTCATATCTAAAAATAAAAAATATTAAGTACACACTCAGTAACGTATTGGTACATAATCACTGAAAAACGGAAATAAATTCGGTGGACAATTAATGAAAAAAGAATACATATTTGGTGGAGTACCACTGAAAAACCGAAAGAAATTCGGTGGGAGTCCCCTGAAAAATAGAAACAGATTCGGTGTACTACCACCGAAATAAGGTAACAATTTCGGTGGTAACCCACCGAAAATACATGTTCAATTCGGTGGACTACCACTGAAGCAATGTAATAATTTCGGTGGCAATCCACCGAAACTAGAATCCAATTTCGTAAAACCAGGTTCGAACTACCCAGAACCTTGAAATCAAAATCAAAATCAGTATAAGACTTTGGCTTTTCAAAAGTGAAATCAAATGTAGGCTTAATCAACACTTAGAAACGTAAATATATAAATCAAATTTGAAATCAAACCTTGAATAAGGATTTGTGAGAACTTGACCTTCAATGGCTTTTGGGTTTGCAGAGATGGAGATGGCTGTGATGGTTCTGTTTCAGAGATGGTTCAGGTTTGTTCGAGGCGATGGCAAAGGGCTTCTTCGATGGTGAGCAAAGATCTGCGATGGCAAGGGATGAGTTCTTCGATGTTCTGCGATGCAGGCAACGGCAAAGGGATTCTTCAATGGTTCTGCGATGGAGGTTGGTGTAAATGGGATGAGGTGTGCGATGGGGTGTGTCTGCAAGAGGAGAGAATTTCGGAGGGGTGTGGCTGGATATCAGATGGGGTGGGGTTTGATTTCAGATGGGGTGTGGCTGAAAGGGAAGGGGGTTTTCGGTGGGTAGTTAGGGAATGGGGTTTATGAGGGCAATTTAGGGAAAAAAAAGGGGTTTAATGAGTAATTTGAAATTTTATTAAAATTTAGTGGGGTGTAAAAAATTATGGGGTGTAAAGAGTAATTTATGGGGGTTCATATAGAATTACCCTATTCATAATTCTCTTCTAATTGATGCTTGCAACTGGGTTAGGCATTACATCTTCCCGTTCTTTTCCATTTGATGATTAATAAAGTTCCCTCGTACTGTCGAGGTTCCTACAACTTGATTTAAACTATAGCAACCAAAATCGTAATTTGACAAAATTAAAAATTAGAAGAGGTAAATAAAAATTGTCACAAGTGTCGAAGTTCAATTGTCTCAAAGTTTGAGGACCCAACAGCAACAAAGTCCATAAAGAATTCCTTATCATCATCATCTAATCCATTTCGGCATTTTTTTCCCTCCTCTTCTGCCTCACAGCAAAACCAAATCAACCACAAAACACAGAGATGGCCATGCCCACCATGGCCTTCTCATCGTCACCTTCCATTCTCTCTCCACATTGCTCAATTCACCACCCTCTTGTTCGCTCCCACACTTCTCTCTCTTCATTACCCAAAATTGCTACTGTCCTCTTCAGCTTCTCAACTTTTCAAACGCTTCCAAAATTCCCGTTGAATAGTAACAAAAGAATCCAATGCGCTGAAAAAGGCTCTTCAGCTTCAAGTCTTGATCCCAAGTCCGGAGTTTCAGTCTACAAGCCCAAGTCCTATGAAGTTCTTGTCGCTGATGCTGCAAAATCGCTTGCTTATGCTCTTGAAGATGGAAAGACCCGCTTGGAGATTGATTTTCCGTAAGTTTTTTTGCCTTTTTTGTTTGGATTTGTTGAAAAGTTCTGGGTTTTGAGAAAGTCGATGAGAATTTGTGGAAGGTTTTGAAGTAGATATTGTTTGGATTTTCGGTCTTTGAGTTTTGTTTGTTTCTTGGGCATTAACCAAAATTGATATGGTATGCATGATCCATAACGTGTTACCGTTATGATGTTGAGCACACTGCAAGTTTGGTATTATGAATAACTTGCCATCTAGAAGAAATATGGAAAATATCTTAAAAAGGTTGAGAACTTTATGAAAATTAATAAATAGAACAAGACGTTTGGGAAAATTGCTTGATGGAAATAAAGAACCTAAATTTGGCTAAGATAGGGATGCCTGATAAAGAAAAACATTATCTTGGAGGTGCTTTAACTGTAATTTAAAATGTTTGCGGAAGCTTGTTAACTAGCTTTTATATTTAATAGAAATGAGGTTATGTAATTTAGAGACTACTATATCAAGGAATTACTTTTCCTATCAAACCATAGTAATGTGAGTTCATTCCTGTTTGGTATTCCACTAGGAAATTTTGGTTAGTTGTATCTTATTGTTTAGGCGTTCTAGTGGCTTTCATATATTCTCCTAATACTTGTTCTTTTTCATGTACCTTATTTTTTCGAGCTTGTGCCTCCAGACCCCTGCCTAGCAACATATCTTCTTATAAGGTATCTCTCTTTGCTACAAAATTATTAGATGGCTGGATGACCCATCATGGTTTACACCTGCTTACTGGAGATTGTTTTCACATATTGATTGTAAAAGCATCCTGCTTTGACTCCATTTAGTCTTCACAGTTGTTTGTTGATTTGTTATTTTTCTGTCAGTCCTTATTTTTGATATAGTAAAAGGCTTTATAATCATGCTATGCTTATGCCCCAACCCCAAAGAAAAGATGCTATACTATACCCTACTATCATTGTTCTTCTTTGATTTCCTCTTATTAGTCACAGTGATATAGCTTGTTGATGACACATAGCAATCTGAATACATGAGACATGATTTTCTCAACTTCCTAAACATGTAAAAGGGGTCTTCAGATGACTTCATTGATGCCAACGTACAACTGGCCTTGGCTGTTGTAAGGAAGCTCAAAGAAAAAAGGGAAACGAGAGCTTGCATTGTAAGTTGAATTTTTGTTTCATATAGACATGTTATATCTTCCATTTGAAGAGTATGTTAACAAGATTTCTTTCTTCAGGTGTTTCCTGATAAGCCAGAAAAGCGCAGGGCCTCTGAGCTGTTTAAAACAGCTATTGACACGGTAAAAAATAACTCATGATTTTACTAATCGTTAATTCTTTTTATGTAATCAAGTGTATCAGAATCTCCTCAGCCAACAAATTCAGAATTGGTATAGTGGATTGGGATAAAATTTTGATTCACAGAAAAAGGCTAAAAAAAGTAAAATACATTTCGTAACATGCTTTTAAATAAAATTTGCATTTCTTATGAAAGAAGTAATGTACACTTGTTGATTTGTAGAGATTTTAAAATTTACCAAGTTTGTTATGTGTTTATACCTTTATCTTATAGCCACGAGAACTATTCACAAAGCAGATTACAGTTCAACAACTCCTTGTATCATTGTTTTCATTCTGATTTTTTTCTTCAGCTCGATGACATAACCATAGGTTCCCTGGATGATGTCCCTGGTGGTCCAGTCACCAACTTCTTCAGATCTATAAGGAACACACTTGATTTTGACTTTGAAGATGAAAATGAAGGTTGGTCATAACTTATAGGACTCAAATGCTTGCTTGTTTTCCCTTTTCAATTGATTGCTTGTATCCCTCTTCTTAGCCTTCACCTCAACTGAAGAATTTTCATGCTAATTTGATAGTTTTTTTTTTGGTTCAATGCATGATCCATCTATATAATGAAGAGTATTAACTTTTTTTTTTTGGTGAACAAAATAATCATCCTACAACACCGGGCACACATTGAAGAGTATTAACTTTCATCTCTATGTCATCTCTTAAAATTGCAGGTCGTTGGGCATCCAATGAGCCTCCCTCTCTTTATGTATTCATTAATTGTAGCACCCGTGACCTTGCTTCAATAGAGAAGTATGTGGTATGGTCTCCTCATTGTTAGCTCTCTCAACCATTTTGAAGTTTTGACTTTCAAATATAATTTCAATACATTTTTTGAATGAATGCTCTTTCCGACCATTAACTTTTGTTCTACCTATATACGGTTTTTATGCCTGATGATTGTATACTTGTATAAGAATTAACTATGATCTTACAACTTCAATTCTTTTAATGTTTTTTTGGGGTGTCATGACTTGTTGATACTTACTAATTACATTAATTAATGTTTCTCAATGATAATATTTTGGTAAGAATCAGTTTGATATGAGTTCATCTCTCTAGTGATGCAAATTCATCTATTGGAATCTAAAAACCACTGTTTGATCTAGAAATCTAGAAACAGACCCAAAAAGATATAGAAAATCAGGAAGATGGGCACAATTGGGGAAAGATTTGAATGCATGTACATATTCTTATCTATATGTTTCAACAAATTTATTTGCATTCAAATTCAGCCATTTCGAGACTATGAACTTGAAATTTACAGCTCTAGAAATTGAATGTGCTAACACTGGTTATTTGTGATATATTCAATATGCGCTCCCATTTGCATTCCTGGATCTGTGGTGTGTTGTTTTAAGACTAATGTTGGCTGTGTTTCTCCCTAAAATGTAGTGTTATGTGTATCTTTCAACATGCATGTGCTCTTTTTTTTTTTTGTTGCATATTTACTAAACTCCATTCAGGGGAAATCATATGATCAGTTTATATTTGCATTTGCTGGCTGCCTGAAATTAACCATGTACAATAAACTAAGAAAATTGTAGTTCGTGGGCATCTGAAAATGTGCAGGCATCTTATGCTGTTTCCTGGCTACATAATCTTATTCCAGAGTCTAATTAAGTTTAGCATAGAGTCTAATGGTGTCATTGTTTTACTCTAAGTTTGAAGTTGTATGCAGCCTGAATTTGACAATTTCACATGTTAATCATGAGGATAATCTGGTTCCTCTTTTCCTACTGTGACTCTTCGAGATTTGCAGGAAACATTTGCCATTTCAACCCCAACACTTCTATTTAATCTTGAACTCGACACATTGCGGTAATCCTTATGGACCATACATCCAAATTTGATTTTGCTATTCTCTGACTATAATTTTCATTTTCAATTAGAATCTGTTAATTATGCAGTGCTGACTTGGGCCTTGTGGGCTTTCCAACCAAAGATTTGCACTATCGCTTTCTTTCTCAATTTATTCCAGTGTTCTATATCCGAATAAGAGAGTACTCAAAGGTATAATTTATTTACCTTTAATAATTATTACTTGTTTTCTTTCTTGATTTAAATTTTTGGTAACCATTCATTTGTTAACTCCTAAGACAGTAGCAGTAGCACCTTATATAGTGAATTACAATGGAGCATTGTTTCGCCAATACCCTGGTATGTATTAAAAGATTTCTTATATACTGGATTATTGCTTATTCTTTATCTTAACTTTCATAGGTTTATAAATCTATTTATCCCAACAAATTGGACGACAGTCCTTAGATCGTTTAGATGATATGATAAGGTCTTCTTGGAAGAACGATTAAAGAATAATCCAAAGTTATTTTAAGTTATGCTAATTTATGCAAGACCTGTTATTCACATCATAGTGGTTTCTCAGCACTGATGCTGGTCTGGACTTGATGAAGAATACATTGTCAATGTTTGAGAGTCTTGATCAAGGGATTTTGTTCAGAAGTCATCTAATACTCACCTTCATGGTTGGCCAGATTAGGAAAGGACAGGTGTAGTGGTTACATGATGAACAAAATATATAACCCAATATTAGCACATCGTGCAATATTTACTTGTTTTCTTTGGACAGTTTAGAGTTTGATTATTTTGGGACCATTTGTACAGCTTGCAGAGTGAATTGGTTATCTTTGTTTTCTTTACGTTTGAATATCTATTCTGCAAAATAGAGTTTGTTTGGAAGAAATATTAGAAAAATTAATGTGTTCGGGAAGTAACTATAGTTCTACTGTTAGCTTCTCTTTGGGCATCTTTGTCTAAACACTTTAAAGATATTGCTTTTAGTGTTATTCTTCTTGATTTGGGGGAGCCTTGATTTTATTGTAGTTTAAATTTGTACTTAGAGTGTTGATTGACATCTCTTTCGTCCCATTAGTATCATTTTATTTATCAACAAAATTTTGTTCCTGGGAGAAGAAAAAAAAAGGTTCCCACTTTTATTGTTTTTATAAATTTTACCATATAGTTCAATTGTTTCCTTCTTTTACTTTTTGGAAAACATGACAATGTCGATAACATGCTATGCATTGTACAATTGACAGATCTGATTCTCACTGGACATTTACAAAGTTTTACCATGCGACTGCTTTCAGTGTCTCTTTGAGCCTTTGTCATTTTTCTACTACTCTTGTTAATTATCTCCTAATCAGTTGGCATGGATTTATGTTATCTTCTGTGCATTAGCTGGAATTGATTTTATGTTTTCATTATGGACGCGCTTTTGTAACCCCAGGAAGGTATTGCTGTACAATCAGCTTGTTTGTGGTTGTTAACCATGATTTTGTTGCACTTTATTTTTCTAACGCATCCACTTTTTTCTTCAGTATGTGTGTGTGCTTCATTCAGCATGTGGCGGTGTCTCATCTTTTCTCAAATTTGTGCAGGGCCTTGGCAGGTAATGCTTAAACAAGCCGATGGTTCTTTTGCTTGCGTAGCAGAGAGTGCAACACGCTTCACTCTGGGTGAAGTATATATCTTTCTCAAGCTCCAGTTATTAGTTACTTTCTGTTAGTTGCTGGGAATACTTTGGTACGCTTTCAGGCTGATTATTTGTGTGGTGTTTAGACAAAAGAAGAACTGTTGAGGGTCCTGGGACTGCAAGAGGAACAAGGAAGCTCGCTGCAATTTCTTCGTAGAGGCTACAGGGTTAGCTCTCCTTATCTTAAAAGTTTTCCTTTATCTATAGATAGTTTTTCCTATTTTTGGTCTCACTAATTTCTTACTATAATAATATTATAAATTTAAATTGGCAATCCCCAACCTTAGTTTTCCCTATGTTTTTAAACTTTTGGAATTTAAATAACCAACCCCCAACGTTCATTCTCTCTCTCTCTCACATTCACTCACACGCTCGCATGCATACACACACCCTGTCATGTTTCTTAGTGGTTCTGCAATCTGTGGCTTTCTAAAGGTTGTCCTTTTCCATTAGAAAACGGAAGATTTAAAGGAAAGCTCAATTTGTGAAATTAAGTAATAATTCCCCTTGATCCAATAAGGGCCAAATCATTTATACGGATTCCTAAAATTTGATTCATCTAAATCAAGTCAAGGCACTCGGTACGGTGTTTTGGATGACAATCTCCTTTGTTTATTGAAACCTTTGAAATTTTTCTTAGGTGCATTGTTATGCACCATATTGTACGGCACAGTTACTGAAATTTGCTGCTGCAATCTGGGATCATAGTAAACTCATGCTCTCCACAATAGATTTTGGCAATGCATTACTTCTGCAATCTGCTTTTCTGAAATTTTGTATAAAAGATACGAATATTATGAAGTTTCTAGGAAAAAAAAATTCCTTTAGCAATGTTACAAACTCAAAACTACCCAAGCATTGAGAATTTAAATCCAAAGCCCAAAGTGGTGTTTCCATGAAAAAGAACAAAATTGTTCTACATTGATGTAACAGAATAGTTCTGTGGTTGTTACACATTCTTGCTTCATAGAGCATACCATGGGACACATTGTAAATAGTGTATCTTGATTGTAATGCATTGTTGGTAAGTGGAGTGCACCATGTTCCAGTTGCTGTTCTGTCTACTGCTATTGTCTACTTTCCTCACAACACCGTTTCATACAGATAACCTAGGTTGCTGGTTCTGGTTTGGAATTTCTGACTGCAAAAATTTCAAACAATGTCTTACCAGCTGTTAAATATGACTAACTGAAATGCTATTGAACTGGTCGACTTGATGAAATGGACTAGAAAATTGAATGTCATGGAGCACCCTTTACCTTGTCTATGGTCATTTCTCTCTCTTTATTTAGCCAATTTCAGAAGTTACCAGTTTCCCTCTCAAATCATTTAAACATTCAAATGCAAAAACATATTATGAAAGGAAGAACAATAACTTGAAAATCTAATTGGATGGGATGTGATCTAATATTGCAGAGCGCTACTTGGTGGGAAGAAGATGTTGAGTTGGAAGTATCTTCTGCTTGGCGTAATTAAGCAGCTGAAAGAGATGAATGCCAGTTTTCCAGTGGATCCGGGATACTCAGTTGAGTTGGATAATGCTTAGATGTAATCAAGGCATGATGTTTTTTTTTCGGGATTTTTATGGTGAAATGACCCAAAATGAAAACCAGTACGCAAAATAACTCATTTGTTTCTGAAGTAGAAAATTAACCATTTCTGTATTGGGAAAGACCATCGTGTCCAAGATATGAGTTGAGATGGATTGAGATGAGCATATAAAGCGCTTTCCCCATATGCAGAAACAGTTGGTTTTTCAAACTTTTGAAAGAAGAGTTATTTTTCTTGATTTTTATTTTGGGTCATTGGAGCATTAAACCCATGTTTTCGCCCCCTATTTATTTTATTTATTTCATCAATTTTATTCATATATTGTATTTATAAGTTTGTTTAGTACGTAGAAAATGTGAGTAAAATAAATTCTATCTCTACAAATTCTATCTTTAAACGAGAAAACTGAGGGAGCCATGAAGCAGACCTTCAATCGAATTGTGATTTTCACATTTAAAAGAAAATTGGCATTTAGATTGCTAATCTAGTTTTGGAGGTTTTGGAAAATAGCCGAACTTTGTTATGCAAGTTCTGTTGACGGGCAGCATTTGGCCGTGCCCTGGGAAGGAAAGTTGCAATTGCTGAGGACATCAGCTTCTATCAAACATGAAGTCGTTAAGCCCAACGCCAACATGAGTATCTTTCATGGCTGGTGGACTCTAACAAGGCATTCTTCCCTTTGATGAATAATATCATACAAGGAAGACTGGCTACCATTTCATACAGCTGCATAATGTTGGCATCCATTTGATTTAATGACACATAAAGCCTATAAACATATAATAAACTACCACCAAAATCATGCTATGAAAATTGTTTGTGTGAGTGTCTGCCTAGTGGTATACATTTTATCCGACGGAGCACCAAAAACAATATAACTTAGTCAGAATATTTTATCCAAACCAGCACCAAACACCTTATAAATAAATTAATACTATCCTACAAAAATTAATTAGTACAGTCCGACATACCAAACAAGTCATAAAGTCGATCAAATATCTTACTCGGATGACTTTTTGGAGAAGAGAATTTGAACTTAAGACTTATGTGGGTTGAATTATCTAGACTATTAATTGAAGCTACAAGCCTCCACTTCAATTACACAATAGACAACAAAATCAATCTGATTACCTATTCCAATTATGAATATTTTTTAAAAGAAAATCTAGGCAACATGCTTTAATCGAACTAGCCGTAATTTACAGAAAAATAAAAGGTTTTCTTATTAATCAATGAAATTTCCAGAAACTAAAAAGTAACAGAAAATGAAAATAAAAAAAAGTTTTTCATATAAGACAAAATGTTAAAATAGTCCAGCTCCCCCAAAATTGGAGAATCGGTCCAATTGCTGTCCAATAATTACATGAAAGAACTCTTATGTTACTGTTAGACAGTCACCCGATAATCGTTTAAGGGACTAGACAATTTTATTTTGGTGTCCTCCTATTTGTTCTTATATGATAAAGCCCAAAAAGGAATTGGTTGGTTTGTAACGTTAATGAATTATTTATTAAAAAAAAATTAATTAGTTAGAAACATCTTGTCCGGTTTTCCGTACTTGTATTAGTAGATAAGTGTCCACCGGCTTTACTCTTTCCTTGGTTAAAAAGTTTCCAATTTTTCCGTTCTCTTTCTTACCTGGCTGTAATTGGTAATTTCGCAGCTGTCAAAAGAGCTAACTTCGTAGTGGTTTGAGTTAGCTTGGCGTTCACGTCTCAATTCAAACCAACCAAATAAAACTTGACCGTTGGAAAGAAAATCCAGAACACACTAGGATTCCTACTTCTCCTCAAACTCTAAACCGACACATTCATGTGCCCTATCCCATATAAACACTGCTGATTCTCCAAACGAATACCCTTAAAATTCACCAAACAAATTAAAATTTCCTAAGTTTCTGCGAAGGAAAAGAAACCATGAAAAGGAAGTCCGAACAAGAAGAATTTGAAGAATTTGAAGAAGAGAAAAAACAGAGGATTTGGAGTCATGGAGAGCACTGGCTGAGAGGGGAGATGGTTGGAGAAGGAAGCTCTGGTTCTGTTTTTCTTGCCACTCCCAAAAACCCAAGAAGGGGTGAGTTTGGTAGCATGCTAAACTTTCCGGGATTGATGGCGGTGAAATCGGCAGAGGTCTCTGATTCGGAGTCAATCCGGCATGAGGCAGAGGTTCTGTTGGATATTAAGGGTTGCCCTTTTGTCATTGAGCGCTTTGGTGAAGAAATCACAACCAGTGAAGAGGGTGGTGATCACATGGTCTATAACTTGTTGCTGGAATTTGCCTCTGGAGGAACTCTTGGTGATCTGATTGAGAAATCCAACGGTCATGGATTGCCTGAAGCTGAAGTTAGAAGGTATACGAGGTCGATACTTGAAGGGATTAAGCATATTCACAAGTTTGATTACGTTCACTGTGATTTGAAGCCGGAAAACATTCTGCTTGTACCAAATCCTGCAACTAGCACTGGTAGTTTTATGGCCAAGATTTCAGATTTTGGATTGGCTAAGAAAACCAAGGAGAATTACGGTCAATGGAGAGGCACTCCTACGTATCTGTCCCCGGAAGCCTTGAATGATAGTGAGCAGGAGCCGCCCTCTGATATATGGTCTCTTGGTTGTATCGTACTTGAGATGCTAACCGGCAAGTCCTTCTCAGATTTAAAGCCTGGTTGTGAACTTGAAGATTTCCACTATATGTTTGATCACATATGTACTCCCAAAATCCCTGCTGAAGTCTCTGGTGTGGCCAGGGATTTTCTTAAGAGTTGCCTTGCCATGAGGTCTTGCGAAAGGCTGACCGCTGAAAAGCTCTTGCTTCATCCATTCGTTGTACGGCCAAAGCCATCGAAAGCAGCTCGTCATACAAAGGGGACGGTGGTTTGCTCATCTTCAGGCTATGCAGATGGCTCCAAACCAAGTGCAGATTGTCACGCAAGCTCTGCCATTGTTCACAGAATTCCGCCACCACCCGGTTTTGAGATACTTGCTGCTCTTGTTTGATGTGATAAACTCAGTACAAATGTGTTAGGTTCTTTGTTGTTTTATTCTTTTGAATTGTAAAGTCCCTTACTTGAAACTATTTGTTTCAAGTTTATTAACACGGAATTGTTCGAAGTGATTCAAAATTTCTGTCCTGGTTTTTTGTTTGCTTTTGTTCGTACTGAGTTTTATTTACTTTTGGTTGCCCTGATTTCTTTGTGCTTTATTAGCTCTAACAAGGTGCGCACGCCCGTAGTTGCGACCTAATCCTAATTAAGCTACTAGAATTTAGATCAGATGACTAATGACTTATTTCAATAATCTAGACTCGCTTCTGCACTGGAGATAAATAGATTCACAAAGATTTGCAGTAACTTTGGGACTATTTGTCCTTTTATTGCTTGGCCTAATTCCGGGATGGTGGAAGATTGCTCACTTAACTATTTTTCTATTTTTAAAGTCCCTTAATTGCAGTTAACCATTTCAAAGTTTCAAGTTTATAATGACAGAACTATGCAATCACTCAAGTTTTTGTCCAATTTCTGATGCAGATTCACTCTCCCTGATGAGTGTACACTTCATTTGATTTGCTACTTCTTATTAAAACAGCTGTTTTGGTTGGTACTTGCTGCTATGCATGCGATTTTCCCATAGCTGGTGCTTGTTACTTTCTGGATTAGTTTTTTACTTTATATCTGTTGTTGGCCTTGGTCTTTTATGTTTCTAGGAGAGGCTTTCTTGTTTTTGCAGATTCAAATTCATTTTTCTTTTTCCAGATAATTGTGATTTATTTCTTCCTCTTCTTCTACTTGTTCAATTTACTTGGTGATACAGTTGGTTCATTACTTTACCATTAATGAAGCTTGTTTCAGCCTCTCTCCGCCTCATTATGTTTCGAGCTTATAAGCTACTAGGATTTGAACCACAGGGGCCCTATATCCATCAACATGCTCAGGGTGCTCTTGCTACTAATTCTGAGATCATTCTTATACAAGTTACCATTGCATGAACAAAATTTAAAGAACAAGAGAGACTACACCAATTAATGTACGTATAAGCTGGACATAATAGACAGCCTAGACTAGCTAGCCTGTAACCTTCTGTAGTCTGTGGTAGCCTGTAACCTTATGCATACCATATGGAGACTCATCTGTAGTCTGTGGTATCTGTGGGAGCGATTTTTCCCACAAGAATATTCGATTGGAAAGATTCGCCTTCCTTCATTACTAATAAAAGAACCCACAAATTAGTCTCATATAATCTCGAAGACATTTATCATCTTTGTAATTTTTAAAACGCCAACTCTATACAGGCCAAATTACCCCAGTCTAAACTCCACATTCCTAACTATACAACTTTTCTTATGCTTTGAACAAAGGCAAGTGAATTTATGATAATTAAAAGTGAAACAAAAAGTTCCAGCACATCACACAGTGTAGCATATGCTTTTGTAGTCAGGGGCCAAGCTAAGCAAACAAGGTATCGAACTAAAAGTCAGATATTTGAATTCATCAGGATATCACCCCATACCTAAAGTCATGATGGTTAGCCTGTTTTTAGTATGTAACAATACATATATATTGCACAAAGATGGATTGACAATGCTAGAGCTAACTAAATTCTGCATTGCAGCCAACCTTCCTATTCTTCTTGGGAATTGTCTGGTAGGAAATTTCATTAAGGAAAAAGTTGAATGGCTGAAGCATGAAGATCGACCAAAATGTAGAATGCATAGAGATGACAAAGGAAAACAAAATAAAAAGAAGAAAACACCATCCATGTCTTCTTCCTCGATGGAAAGCAGATAGCCCTTTTACTTGTCAATGTTTTAGTTAGTTCTAAGTATGTTTGTTTAGTCATACTTAGACAAAGATATAGATGATACGACCAAAAAAAGACAGATGTAGACAATGTAATCTACCTTTTGGATAAATCTCAGTGATTCTAAAG